AGCGCCAAGAGGCAGCGCGCGCGCAAGTAATGTAGGGTCAATTCCAATTCGATGATCCATGCTCCAGTTGTGCTAGCAACAGAGTGTGCATGCGTGGGATTCTGCCAGCGTGAGGAAAAGGAAGCCAGGATGCACATTGACCTAAAGCAGCCCATCCCCAATTTGTTTAGTATGGTTCATGGTAGTTCCTGAATGTGGCCAGGCTGCCAGCATGATCGGCATGATGACCAGTACGATGAAGAAAGGCTGCTAGACAGCTTGGCGGAGAACCTGGGTGACAGCGTGGCTTGCTCAGGTTCAGGGTTCAAGATGTTGAGGTTTGGGCATGATGGATTGGGCAAATCAATTTGTATAATTTCAGCCCCCCTATCATTAAAAGTCCCAGGGGATAAGTCGACACAATTACAGGCTATTGGGCGGATTCCCTATTTGGAGAAGATATCGAATTCCCATTGACGCACAAGAGGCGAATTGAGTTTCAGGTGCTTTTAGGTGATACAGAGCTTGGGGGGCTTAGGGTTTAGGATTCAAAGGTTTAGAGGTTTACGGGTTTAGGCCCAACAGCTTCGATCATCGAATTCTTGAAAACCCAATCTACGGCTTGTAAGAAGAGAAGACAATGTGGAATCCTGTATAATATATTGGGAAGAAACAGCCATCCTTGCCATTCTAGACCCCTGGGTTACTTGATTAGAGCCATAGGCTTCGTCATTTCCATGTTCAATTTTTGATTGAAACAGTACTGGGTCTAAAACTCTATCGATGCATGAGCTACAGAAGTATAGCTTAGAATCAGGGCGCTCTTGGGGAAGGGAAGGGTTTATGCGTTTCAGTTTAGGGTTTAGAGGGTTTAGGGGGTTCAGACGGTTTAGAGGGTTGGGGTTTAGAGTGCTTGGGGGCTTTACGGTGTAGATCTTTTGCAGGTCACTTGACGTGACTTTGAAGAATGCGGCTAGACTTACTCGGGCCCATGGTAGCTTTGCTCTGTGGTGCAAGGCTGAAAAGAAGCACCCGTCACTGAGGAGTTTTCAAAGCAGTTCTTGAACATGAAGACTTTTCAGAGTGCACCATGGAGCAATAGTAAAGGGGCCGACACCGGTTTGCTGCTGCGGTGGTTGGAGTAGTTTCTTACTCTGACTCCGAGGGATCCTCCTCCAGATTCTGAGGTCCCTTCTCCAAAAGATGCAGCAAATCTGTCGTGCCTACAACTCCATGTTTAAGAACATCTATTCCCACAACCTTTGGATGCATCGCGCATGTGCGCGTCGTTTGTACTGTGACTTGATGCGAGTACTACGAGGATACCAGTTGCTAGGCAGTTTGTGTCTGAGTTTCAGATACAGAGCCTTCCTGCAGAAACCCAAAAATCACGGACTAGCTCACATTGCCCTCAACATCCACCGACGGTTGGTCTCGGGAGCACCCTACATACTTAACGTAGAAGGCTTTTCATGTGAGCAAGATGAAGATTATATTGGCCGAATCTCCTGTTTGTCACGCAAAGTGGATGTAAGAACCCAGGGCATGCGAATCTTTAACCGCTTGTTCCTCAAATTTTCGATGGTGAGGAAGCGAAAATACTCCCCTCAGCAAGCTTGAGGACTAAAAACAAATCTTGCCAGTGCCAGCGGACTGAAACTCCAAGGCCCAACCCTTTATGATGCCCTGAGCCCTTCACTTCAGTCGCTCAAGACTGCCCCTGCCTCCGTGAGATCTCGGTCAGTCGCCATGAGGCATGCTGGAAAATTTCCACAGGTGGCTTAGGGTTTATGGGTTTAGGGGTAGAGGGTTTCAGCGCTTAGGGTTTAGGGCCGTGCTGGAAAATTTCCACAGCTGGCTTGGGGTTTAGGGGTGTAGGGGTAGAGGGTTTCAGCGTTTAGGGTTTAGGGCCGTGCTGGAAAATTTCCACAGCTGGCTTAGGGTTTAGGGGTGTAGGGGTAGAGGGTTTCAGGGTTTAGGGCTTAGGGCCATGTTGCATAGTTGTCTTGATCTTTCAAATGATCCTTACGCAGGCATAACTTCATTAGAGCCAAGCATGTCTTCAAGCTGTGGTTGCGAAGGAGGTCCCAGGCCATTGGAAAAGTTACCAGCATAGTACTAAGGGTCAACACAAGATCCCAGGAGTAACGAAGCGTTTGGATAGAGTATGGTTTAAGGTTTTAGGTTCTGGGTGCTAGGGTTTAGGGTTTAGAGTGTAGGGTTCAGGGTGTGGGGTTTAGATGGCAATACCAGCATCAACAATCATCTACTCTTGGCCTCTTAGGCTGAGTTGGATTTGGCCTTCAGGCTGGAATTCTTTTGCTCGGGCTTATATTCCAATTTCGGGCTTCTTTATGGCCTGAATGGCCTCGGGCTGAAATAATAGCCTGGAGGTGGATGCAGGTATATACACATATATGTATGTACAGTAGGTGAGGGAGAGGAGGGCAGGAGAGGGTTGAGGCGTAGACGTAGAAGGGGCTGGGAAAGCGGGTGATAACGAGGAGAGCCTGATACGAATGCTAGGCCCCTGAAGACAGTCCGGCATGGTTTAAGCCCATCTGCCCCAACAGTAAACTATCACATCGAAGCAGGGGCAAGGTGGCCAGTAAGCCGCCAAAGCCAAGCAGAGGTAATGGAGCACCAACACAATGGACAAGACAAAGGCCACGTGGAGCCACTTAGGGTGGAAAGACGTGGCAAGTGAAAAGTAATAAATGCTACTAAAGGATGACCCACGGCCAATATGGCACAAACCCGCACACCAAGATTGGGCAAGGTCACGCGTACAGGAATGCCAGCCAGAGGCATGGGCCACAGCAACATGTGCGTACATAGGAGCGCACCAAGCCAGCGGAGCACACAAGACACCAAACACCAGGATCACGAAGAAGTGAGCGAGAAAATGGCAAAGACTGAGCGAAAACATCTTGGCGGAAAGCCTTACATTCCTTCGCCTCGCGGTTCCAAGGCGCTACGCGAGAGTGCATGCTGAGGCTTAGCTTGCACTTACATCGCCATCCTCATCGGGTTCCCTCAAAATTGAACGAGTGAGTGTAATGAACTCTTAGGGAGATAAGGTCCATCACCGTCATGAGGCAGGGTTGGGCAGCCAACCCTCTCAGCCTCGTGGGGGATAACGAAGTGCGTTGTAAGCCTCAAGCCGCACACTGTACAGTTAGCTTGGCAACAAGTATCTTGCCAGGCATGCCAGTCATGTGTCGTACCAAAATGCGCTAGAAACTCCATTTAGTGGGCACTTTCGGTCCCAGGACCTTAGCATGCTTGGCCCGTTAGGTTCCAGAAGCTTCTAAAATGCCCTGAACGCGTGGGATGAGATGCTTCTGGATGCATAATGCACGGTGGTCAATCCAAGCAGTGATGTCAGCGTATGTTTTCAAATCCGGCCGCAGGCTTAAGCAGTGTGCGGTCAGCATAATCATTTGATAAAGGCGCCCAGACCAAATCTGGGCCAAACATGCCAAACTTGGTCGGAGTCTCTGTAGAACAAGTTAATCGATATAGTGGCCACTCGGGTTTGGGCGTGGTCTTCTGCAGCGCTACAGCTCGAAACCAGAGAAATGTGGGATCTCACATGCAGCAGATGTTAATGTAGGCTGAAATATCAGCGCTCCTGTCAAGTTTTGTGCTTGCTTCAGCATATACTCTGCGCCCACGGTACCATCGGAATCGACTACTGCAATTAGCACAGGAGTGCACCAATACGGTGCACGACGGCGCACCATGCAAAACATCAGGGAATTGGGCAAGGCCAAAGGCAAAGGCCACACGCGCCAACCATATGAAAATCAGACGCACAGGAAATTCTTCAAGAGTGATGATGGACCTTGCACCAAGGGGCGCATCCATGAAAGGACTGGGCGGCGTCCCAATAACACACCGCACGCAAGGGCTTTAACCAAGAAGCTGCTCAGACAAAAAAACAGCCACGAAAAAAGCGCACAAAGAAACAAAATAAAAGAAGAAAAGATGAGAAAAGGCACTGTCACCCCTGCGGATTGGATGGGGAGCGCATGGGGGCGGGCGAGGGGCGCTCCTCAGAGGTGAAGACCCCCTCAGTGCCGCCTCCAGGGCTGCACCAAGAATATTGCCCAGCTGCTGCGTGGGGTAGCTGCAGAGCCCAGGCATACGTCACGCTTGGATTTTCAAGCAGCAACACAGGACACAATAGGTATATCTCCACACTTGCGGTCTCTCAAATGCAGGGGCGGTTTTCAGATATGTCTCTGCTTGAATCTCCTCCCCGCACCACCGAGTTCTTTCAAGGGCAAAGAGGGAGATGGTTGTAATACGCACATGAGGACATATTGCGCTCCAGGGTCAGAGTCGCCAACGGCAAAAGTTTGAGGTTTCCAACCCCCACGACACTCGAGGGCCCTACATGGTCATGGCTCGCCGCTGCTTGTGTCTGGTGGAGGGCAACACAAGCGCCAAAAGACATGCGAAACTGCTGCCTGTGAAATTTGAAATGAGCGGGCCTGAAATCATCATGTTGATGAGCCCTTGGACTTGAGGCGTCTTGAGCTGATGGCTTGAACTTGAAAAAAGTCTCAAACCTCGGACCCGTGGTGCAAACCTCAACAAGCTTGAGACTTATGAATACACTGCTTCAGAAAGCGTACGACCAAATGCCTCTCCCAAATTTCTGGAAACATTGTGAAAATTCATTCCAAGGAAGTGGAGCAAGACTCTGCAACAAACCAAATCCTTTCCAAAAAGTAGCAGGAAAAAAGAGCAGCAATCATAGCAGTAGCTGTCTGACTATTGCAGCTGATCATTTGTTTGGGGGTACCATGCGGCTTTAGGCTGCTCAACGATCATTAAGGCCTTAATCCGACAACATGGCGCCGTTTGACTGAAACTTTGTTGCTTTGCTCGGCTTCAGCCTGCGTCTCTCAACAAAGACCGAACCAAATCAAGCGAAGCACGTGAAGCACCCAACCATCCAAGCATGCAAGCATTTAGTGAAGGCATCCGCAACAGCATGGAAGGAATGGGTCCTTGTCATCTGCAAAGGCATGGGCAGATCGTCCCACAAAGGTGGCGACATCTGTGCAGCTTGGAAATGTTATGGACCTCAGTTCTGAGCAGGAGTTCGGCCCTCGTCTGCTTTAGCTCTTATCCTCTGGCCAGCATGCACCATGTCATGCACCAATGCTAACGGGGTGAACTCCAGCGCACGTGGCATAAGTCTTTGAAGGCGGAAACTCTACTGCAAGACTGATCCAATCGTAACTTAGTTTTGCAGCTGCCCCCTCCTTAGTACAACAGCTGAGACGATGGCGCGAAGCTGCACCCTCGAGCATGGGCGACAATGCCCTGACAGTAAATTGAGCGATCTTTTTTTCGTCCGGATGCGGAAATAAGGCAGGATGGTCTCTGGCAATCTCAAAGCATGCCCTTCCTATGCCCTTCGCCGCCGGCCTTTGTTGCCCCCTGCCTTTGTAGCCAGTACGAGAGGGCATTGGCCACAAAGCAAACTTTTACCTACCTTTGACACTGCCAGCAGCTAAAACCTACAAGTCTTTCACATTTTTTGAGCAGCACCTGACTTGTCTTGAAAAAGGTCTGGGGCACAGGCTTCGAGAAAAAACGCATCAGTTCTGCTTCTCCAACGTCAATCGACAAGCCAGATAACACAACCTGGCAGAAGATGTCTCTGCAGGCTGCAAGTGGATGCAACATCTTGCAACCGCAACCACAACCTTGCTGGAGAAGGCGTGCAGGTCTAAATTGAGAGGTGCAGGCTGAGGTCTTCCATCGCCTTGAGTTTCACTCGAGCTCAAAGGCTCTCAGAGAAGCCTCCTCTTGGGCCACGAGTCCCGAACCCAGAGCGGGTCTCGGCAGGTGAAGTCTGCAGCAGCCCAGCACAGACCCTGCAGGCCGGTCTGTGTGGGACAGCCTTGGACATGTTACGCAACTTGCCAGAGTCTGGTACAAGTACTGCATTGTGGCATATTATGGCATATTATGGCATCATGGGCTGAATGCGTGCTCTGACTGCCCAAGACTACATCACTTCAATGTAAGCCTGCCACATGACGAGCTTTGCCTGTCTTCGATCCCAGAGAGTTGCTGGGCTCTTGTGCAGTGGCCGAGCCTCTGGGAGGTAGCCAATTTCTGACGCCTGGCAATCATGTCTGTTTAACTTGAGCTTGTACACGGGCAGTCAAAAAAAGAGTGTTTGATTGATCTGCTGTTAAGCTTCAACACCCTTAAGTGCTTGCGCAGCACTTGTTTCTTCTAAACTGGCTCATTGGCTTGGATTCCAAAGGCAGGGGCATGCCAGACACGACAACTGGCATGCTCAAAAAAAATACTTCGACACGATGCCGTACCGGGTACCGTCTTGCTTGCTGGGATTTGCTGGAGCTGCTCTGTTTAGCAGCGGGTGCCAAACAGCAGATCTGCCCGACAGTTCTGCCTACCCCATTCTTCCCCATACCATCTGTCTGCTACTGCATCTAGACGATTGCAACTCTCCATCACATCCCTCATCTGCTGGCTAGGCTAGACAGCCACATCCCCTGCTTTGCCAAGTTTTGCCATGTATGAGCACATCATAGCACGGCACTATAGAGTGTTGAACGATGTAGAATGTAGAACGCATCTGAGTCTGGGGAAGCTCACCAGGGGACAAGAATTAGCTTGGGGATGCTTGCGGGGAATCTAAGCAGGAAGAAAACTGGGGGGTATGGGGAGATTGGGGCTGAAAACCTCACAAGCTACCTGCAAGTTCAAAAGGTGACAGCTTCAACTAATGTGTGCGCGCTTGTAAGGGAGACATAGCGGAGCCTGCCCTCCGTTCGTGCAGTCAACTTTGCAGGACATGCGAGGCCAGTCTACATGCAACAGCATTACAAGGCATTGCCCCAACCAGACTGCCTTAGGCAGGCAGAAACTGACTCTGTCGCCGGGCTGAAACCGAACTTGGCCGCAATTCGACTGTAAAAGCAGCACCTGTTCGAGCGCATTCCTTGTGAGCAGCGTGAGCCGTGCTAAGCCCTTCTGGTCTTGCCTCGCCGGTGCCGCCAAGGTTACGTGCGACTTCTGCGCAAACAGCAGTGCCGGGCTTCCTGGCAGGGAGCTTCGTTGTGCTGCGTTGACACAGTTCGCGGATTGCACATGTCAAAAGCCATTCCGAGATATTGACCATGGGCTTTCCGGCGACTCGTTGATCCACCTCAGCTACGATTTCTTGACACCGTACAAACTACATGTGCCTTCTATGACTTTGTCAAAGTGGAACAAGCCGGGATGTCGGCTCCGGAGCTCGCACCACGGTCCCGCTATACTTCTGCATGCGCCGCACCTTCCATGATTCTGGTATCAAGAGCAGCAAGCACAACATCCTGCTACAAGATGCTACAAATGCTCTGGCATTGTCTGGTAGCTGAGGAAGTGCATTGGAAATGTCCAGCCTTCACGGCCTGAGGAAAGCCTTCAACGCTGAGCTTTACCATAAACTGCACAAGATCCTGGGCACAGCATAAGCGCACAGCGCAATGCTTACTGCTAAGCCGCTAAAGGTTGATGGTACCCTGGCCAGGGGCGCTCCTCCTCTGCAAGTCTTGGCAGGGAAGCTGACTTCTCCTTGTCGCAGACGTTGCAGCGCACCATGCCCGAGATTTTCTTTTAACTGGCGTTTCTTTCTGAATTTTAGAAGGCGTGTAGCGATTTCAGGCTTGTTTCACCGTCACTTTTAGTTGGAAGCCACGATGCCAGCAGTTGACTCTCTCAGTTGTAACCGCGGTGCCAGCAGTTCAAACTAGTTGGAAGCAAGATGCCTGCACATGGTCCAGCATGACTTCGTCATGCAAGCTCAGCAGATGTTCACAGGTATTACGGTATTCTGCAAAATTCGACATTTCAGGATTGTCTTTTAGATAGAATCGTGTGGAGCACAAGGTTGCGACTGGAAACAGCGCGGATGACCAGCAGTTGAGATCTGAAGCATCGCAGACCACACAGAAACCCCGGAATTTGGCAGCACCGTAGCCATAGTGAAAACATGCTAGGCAAGGGGGATCGCAAGCAGCACAACTTGCGAAAGCAAAAACACTGTGCAAGCGCAACAGCGGTCACCTTGGCAATTTCAAACATCCAATCAACAAGGAAACGCGCACTGGAAATCTCTAAGGATGATACCTACCAGCACAACCCAAACTGTGGAGTTTGCCTGAAGCTTGGCCCGCCTTCTCAGGAACAGCTGCCATACTCTCGGCTAGTTTGTCAACCACCTCAGCCCCGCTTGTCGTCAGTGATGACTACGGCTTGGAACCACCTCGCTAATGATTTCCGTGACTCAGAGAGCAGTGTTGAGAAAGGCTGTCGATGCCAGAGCCATTGTTGCAAGTCCCTTGCCCGAACCCAGTCTGAACCATTCCATTCCATCAACCCATGTAGAGTAGGATGAGGGCACCGCAGATTGAGGATCTTCACCGGCTTCTAGCCAGATATCTGCCGCAGCCATTTGCGCCTGCTGTCAGCAGCTCTTTCAAAGGATTAGAACATGCCCAGTTTTCTCGCTTCTTTTTCCATCATGTAAGCTTTCGCAACTTGGCCCACCTGTACCTTTGGCTGATCTGCACATACACCCTCCAGACTTGTGTGGGTTGTCTGCTCCAGAAAGTCAGGTCAAAGCACTGTTAGCACGACTAGCTAGAGATGACTAATTTTAACAGGTCCGCGTGAAGGCTGAGAAAAGTAGCGAAAAGCACATAGGTCGGAGCATTCGCTGCTCTGTGAAACGTTGTGAAACTAACACTTCTCGCTATTGAAAATCGAATGAAGAAGTTTGTCTTGACATGTCGTCTTCACCTGATGGAGCACAATTGCTTTTCTTGCTCCAGATTCACACTTGCTGGTCCGTTCCGAAACGCCTGGATGGCGTATGCGCCATCCACAAGTACACGTCCGCAGCTTTTGGGACTATAAGAGTGACTAGCCAAAAACAACATACGTAAACGCCCAACCTCCGATATGAATCACGTTTGTTGCATCTCAGCGGCTAGCATCTTGCTCCGGCAGGGCAAGCGCCTAGTGATTCCACACTCCCATCAAACGTGTTATGAGACTGACCTGAAGAGATGCTAAGATGGACACCTCGGTGTACGTTGCCGGACGATGCACGCGCTTAACAGGAAAACCACCTTCTAAAGCAGTCAACCAAGACTTCACCTGCAGGGCCAAGGCTTCCCATCTGCCATGGAAAAATGAACCTAACATGTGTTGGAAGCGATATGTCATGGCCGTCCATGATCTCAAGCACCTGCCTCAGCCTGTGATGTGTGCCGCACATAAAGATCGAATTCGCCAAAATGCCTGCCAGGGTTGGGCTCCCTTCATGTCGCTGACTGTTGCTGGGGCATGCTGGGGCATTTCGTGAACAATATTTTCTCCTGTTCGCCATGCGGAATCCGAAGACTGTGTGCGGGCCACAGAGCAGGATCCCTGTACAATTTCGAGAAACTTGGAGAATGCGTGTACAAAGGCGTCTTTAAGCAGTTCCCCCCATCTTCCGCTTCCCCGCCTTATAACCCCCCCCATTATTGCCCATACGCATCGTCCTTCCCCTGGCTTTGTCCCCCTTTTATTGAATCGAATGGAAAAATGCTATGGTCGAGGAGGGTTTGCGAATGATGATCTCCCCTAAACAAGCCTTAGGAACTGATCCCAACATCATGTGCCCCTGCATTTCACTGCCTCTCCAAAACTTTCATCACCTCCATTACATCAGGTCGGCTATGCACAATCTTTACATCGCACCTCATGTGCCACGACAAATTCCCGTTACATCCCACTTACCACTGTTCTATCGAGTTATTGCACCGGTTTCTTTTTGCATTTTGCCATCCTTGGCTCCAAATTTCCCGTTCACTTCGTCAGATTAACCACGCAGCTTCAACACCCCATAGAACTTGACACTCGCTGACTCAGGGTTTCGCGAATTGCACGGGTCGGTATGATTCTGTTTCCCAAGTCTCCCCCAAGGGCTTTGCCTCGGGCTCTCCTGGCTGCTTGCTGAATTCCCTTCTCTCTACTCCGTTAAAGCCTGTCATCGCTGCACCAAGTGTATATCTGACTAGATTGAAATTGTTCTGTACATTGCGCCTGTACCCCGTACGTGCTTCCCTGTCTTGCGTTTCTGCCAAAGGCCACGGGGTTTGTTTAACGGCGCCTTCGGCTGGCTGCCTCGCCAGCCTTGGGTTGCAAACCGCTTGGTTGGCTTGGCGAGCAGGCTCACGCGGATCTTGACCAAACGTAGCTGGAACTGAAGGCAGCGCCCAGCACGGAGCAGACGTCTGCAATTGCGTTTCGCCATGGTAGCGGGGCAACGAAATGATCCAACTGCACGAGTTCTCCGGCAGGCCTCCTGTGACTCGCCTGTACTCCGGCCTGTTTTCTATCCACGCTTGAGCGACATAAATATCTTGCTGCAAGATCAACCCTGAAAATGCGCACGTGGTTTAATTCACCTTCCCCCTCTGCTGCGAGCTCTGCTTCCTCCACCATGGACCTCTCCCAGTGAATGTGTGGACCCACTGCGCCGGGGATGTTACCTATCTCACTCTGCAACTGTGCACTGAAATGGCTTACCATTGACATCCCCGATCACTATGAATGGTATTGGTTGACTCCTCTTGTTTCGGCGGACCAGATCTGTGAGCTGCTCCCCAAATTCGTCGGTGTCATTTAGCTCCTTCTGACGTTAAGGGCATAAACAAAACAGACTGTAAAGGGGATTTCTCTGCAGTGAGGATCCTGCCGGAAATCACGGCGACGTCAACCACTGTTGGGGTGATAATGCAGCGCTGTAACCAAAGAAACTCCGCTGCCCAACCAGGCACTCTGCTGGTCCGTGAGAAAAAGTCTTCCACTTTGGCACGAGGCCCTCTTGCTGATGCTTTGCAGAGGCCCTTTGCTAAGCATTCATCAGGCCATGCATTCGTGCATTCAGCGTTCTCCCAACCTTGTGCCTCCAGGCATGAGATTGATCACTGCGCCCGTGAGCTGTTTCGTAAACCAAAAAAAGTGCCCCTGTGGATTGGCACGCTGCGAAGGTGTGGCAATGGCATTGCTGAGTCTGTGACTCTCCCGTCATAAAATCTTTCTCCACCCACCCAGCATGGATCTTGAGTCTCTGGACCTCAGCTGCCAGATGACAACCCTGCACTAGGTCTACTGGTATTGTGGGCCAAAGTGGAGGCGGAACGCAAGCTTGGCTGGGGCCATGTTGTTGTGGAGGGCTCCTGTGATCGCCTCTTTTCCAACGATTGTGGGCTGGATGGCCCACTCTGCCGAAACGGAGGGACAGTTCCCTGTCAACAAGGATTGGTGGCTGTTAACCCGTGCCTCCGCCTGAGACAACTCTCTTCTGGCCCTTTGTTTTTGTTGCTTTTGCAGTTGCAATATGTTGCAATAGAATTGCAATTGCGCCACGCCTGCAGCTGGCTCGCCAAGGCCTTGCGAGATGCTTTCCAGGAGGTTCGGAGCAGCCAGGGTAAGGACACTAGCAGGGGGCAAGCCTGAGCACTCACGACTTCGCAGACATAACTAGCAAACAAAATTACAGTTACTGAGTACAGCGGTTCCCTGCGATCCCTCGTCAAGCAAGTCGGAAAACGGGCGGAAGAAAACTATTTCAACACCTCCGCCTGCCAACTGAAAGGCCACTGCCAATGTGCACCAAACAGCTTCTAACTGTAAGATGGAGCGATGGAAATGATGGAGTGACATGATGAGTGGTAAATTCAAAACTTCCTCAAGAGTTTACCTGACTTGCGCATGAAAAACCAACAGCGCCTGGAACGACTTTGGGGGAAGGCGCGGGCGACTTGCAAAAGCGTTTCGTGTTTAGACTCCCCAGCTATGGCTTGTCTCGGGTGTGCTCTGCAATTTGCAACTAATTTCGCCATGGAGTGACCCTGGCTACAAAAAGGCTGTGGGGTGCATAATATGTAACCAGGCCATGGAACTCGCCTGTCATGCAAAAATTCTTGCAACTTGACGCGCTCAACTCATCAAGTGGCGAGGCGAACAGAGGACGCGGTCACCAATTGCCTGAAAGAACTAGCGGAGCCGGCGTGAACGGGCAACTCCGCACCCAACATGACCAAGAGCTAGCAGACTCCAGAAGGCTGCAAACACAGTGAAGGCGAGCCCGACCTCACAAATGAAGCGCGGAAGGAACCCCAACTGACTCGAAGCGAACCCTACTTCAGCAACGACTTTTCGAGAAAGTGGGAAAGTCTGGAAAGCCAGCAGCCCAAAACTCCCGCTGGTTGCCGTGGTGGACTTTTCTGGTGGCGCGATTCTCACGGGGAACGTGGAAGTAAAGGACAGATCGTGTTTGGGCTTGTACCGTTGCTCGAAGCATGGCGGTGCCAAGCACAGGAAAACGGGCTGTTCAGGACAGGGTTCCAATGTTTTGTCTGGTCGTAAGTGTGAACACGGCTTCAAGCCGCCCCCGCTCAGACCAGCGCCCACCACCCAGGAGCGGAGGGAACAGCCCGCAACCTCAGGCGGCTGCGGCTGAGCACGCCCAAGACAGCGCGGCATGTGGCTTGAGCCAAAACGGCTAGGGTAACACTTTTTCTCTCGCTCCCTAGCTCTCTTCAGCGCAAGGAAACCAAGCCGGCGGAGAGGCTTCTGCTCATAAGGGTGGCTCATTTTTTTCTCTAGGTATGGCTTACCACCTTGTGGGGGGGGGGCACGCTAATCCTTGCAACCGTCGGCAATTTTGACACGCAAGGCAAAAAAGATGCGAAAGCGCAAAACGATGATGGCGACTCCGACCCGCCTGGTCCCTGTGACTGTTGACACTTTTGACACGCAAAAGAGATGTGCAAGCTCCGAAACGATGACAAATATGAGGATGGTGACCCCGACCCCGACCAGCCTGATTCCTGTGACTGTTGACATGTTTGACACGCAAACAAGATGCGCAAGCTCCAAAACGATGACAGATATGAGTGATATGAGGTTGGTGACCCTGGCCCACCTGATCCTTGTGACTGTTGACACGTTTGACATGCAAAGAAGATATGGGCAGATGTGTTTTCTGTCCTAACCCTTAACATTGGCCCTTCCTTTTCTTTACAAATGGAGCCAAGAATGTGGCCAAATGCTGTCATTCACTATATTTGCGCCTTTTTCAGAGCTCGCAATGGTACTATTTGCAATACTTGTAATCTTCCAAGAGTCGCACATGTAGCTGATGTTGCAATATGCATAGCTTCTCAAACATTCCAAATGCAACAGAATTAACCTGTCAGCAGTTCCAACTCTTTCAGAACTCCACACATACAAAAGCATGTCAATGTAGGTGCTTGCAGCTTAAGCAAAGGTGCGGTTGGAGAGAAGCACAATTGTTCTTCTCACTTCTTTTTTTGTTGCTAGCGCCTTTTCGCACTGCAGAGAATCAGATGCGGTTGCAATCAGACGTAAAACGTATTGGCTACGTAAAGATCAACATAA